TGGTCAACACCACACACTTCTGGAAATCTTATAGAACTCTATACAAAGTGAAATGAATCCAAGTATTCAGACTTAAAACTAATCAATTTTTTTTCAAAACATCCATTTAGACATTGAATTCCTTTTAAGTTTCTATAAAAACTGCCACTATGTTATGGGAATAAATAAGATAGTACTTAAAGAGCAGACTAGGTTCTGGAAATAGGGGTCTGACCCTTAAGTGAGCTTGGCTTCATCTTAGCAAGCAGAGGCTGAATGAAATTTGCTCCCGAGAACCTCCCTCCTCCTGAAATAATGCTTCCTCATCGGTAATGCTTCAAAGCTAGCGGCCCCAAGAAAACCAGTGGTCCCTGGGGTGTTTGGCGAAATGAGTCAGGAAAGGGCCTGCTGCATTGGGTAGCTGAGGATGTTCACTGAGTCTTCTTGGGCAACTGAAAATGAAACTCGAGGAGACAGGGAAAACTAGTAACTTGATGTTGAACCTTAAGTGATTATCAAAGAACTTTGGCTTTTGTTAATCAATGAAATCTCAACCTGAGACTCAAGTTCTTGTTTTTAATTCCTTTTCCATTCTCTGATTTAAGAGAATGCTTTTGTTTTTTCTCAGTCGATGAGCATTGCACAGATCACTTCCCTTTTCCCTGGGGTGAGTGCGAGCTGACAGCACATTCTTGCCTATCTCCTCCCAATTCAAAAGGTCAAGTTCCCCCTGCCCCACCCCTACTGCTTAACACCTGCCAATGACTTCACATCACATTTAAAATAAAATCCTCACCTTTTACCTTTCCTTAAAAGGTCGTATGCACTGTAGATTGGCTTCTTTCTTCACCTGCATCCATCACCACTTTCCTTTTTCACTGCACTCCAATCACACAGCCCTTAGGTTTGTTCCTCAACTGTCCTGAGCTCTTGCCTCCCTCACAATACTTACTCCTGCTCTTTTCTCCACTTGAGCTGTTCTTCCCCAGCTCTGGTAATTGCTGGGGAAGTTCCTTCAACTTCAGGACTCTGCGCAGCTGTTACCTCCTCTGATAGACCTCCCTTGGCAAACCTATCTAAAGCAACCCTTCTCAATATTTCACCTTCTTCCCTCCAGGACTTATCTGGCTACATTGTTATATATAATTTTATAATAATATAATTACATGCAATATGATATCTATAATGTATAATATATAATACATGTCATATGCACATATATGATACATACATATATGATGTATATAATACATTATATACATATATACTGTATCATACATATTATATACATATAATAGATGGTATATAATATTACATATAATATGCATATATATAATGCATAGATTGTGATATATATTATAATACTTTTATATTTCATTATTTCTTTTTAAATTATTGCATATTTGTTATTTCTACACCTCACTAAAATGTAAGTTGTATTAGGGCAGCAATCCTGTCTCTGATACAGTATTTCACATCCAAGACAATTCCTGACAAGATATTTTAAATATGTGAAGAGTGAATAAATGGACTTCAGCTTCTACACTGTAGCTGTGAAATGCCACGTACACAGGAGAACAGCACAGAATGGTCTGTAGGAGGGCCATCCATAAAAGATGTGGTCAACTTTTCTGAGAAGAACATTGCTACTGGAGAAAAAGGAGGAAAAGGTGCAGTCACTATAATGATAGCTAACTACTGACCAGGTGTTGAAGTAACCACTTTACGTAAATTTGCTCATTTAACTATTAAGTCAAGGAATGATATGGGCTCTTCAAATAGCAATCCTGGCTGCTGAGCAAAAGGCAGCTTTCTCTTCAATGGGCTCTAAAGACATAGTCTACATCTACGTAATAGAGAGCCCTTCCATCATGTTAACATTTTCTCTTCCTGGATAGAAAAAAGAAGAATTCTAGAGACTGTAAAAATGAAAAGAACCAGTGTGTTGCCGTGAGAAGATTTATTTGGGAGGCCCTAAGATACAGCTTTTGTTTTGACCTCTCTTTCAAACTTTTATTTTCTTTTAAATAGGTCAGTTTGGCTCATCAGTGGCCTCCTACTTCCTCTTTTTGAGGTGGATGTATGGAGTAAATATGGTTCTCTTTATCCTGACATTCAGCCTTATCATGTTGCCAGAGGTAAGATTCTGACTTCCGTTTTACCAAACACGCTGAAACAAGCTTCTTATGCAATCACTCTACTAGAGAAGTTAACTGGCTACCTTCACTCTTAGAGTCATAGTATCTGTAACAAAGTTAATCTTCAAAATGGTGCCCATGAGCAAAAGGTATCCTAATCCTTGCTCCAAAGGGTACTGAGCCTCCTGAAATCATATATAAATTGTTGTGTGTATGTTGAAATGAGCATTTTTCTGTGTAAAAGTTCATGGATTCTGTCAGATTCTCAAGGTTGTCCCTGTGTCCAAAATTAATTGCTCAAGAGGAAGACTTTGGCATCTTGTGAGGTGCATGTATTTATTTTGCCAAGTTTGCTTTGGAAGAGATGCTACTTAATGCAACTTAGGGCATCCAGCTTTTCTATCTGAAGAAACACTAAGTGAGCAAATTTCTCCAGCTATAAAGTAGATAACCACCCCCATTGCCCCCTCAGACAGCACACATACCCAGAGTGGGATGAGGCAGTTCTCTTAGGACCAAGGTCAGTGAGAGAGGAAAACAGATAGTGGGTTTAGATTGAAGAAGGCAAAGCCCAGAGCTGAGGGAGTGTGGCGGGAAATGGGGGAGATTCAATCAACTAAGACCAAGAAGCAAGATTGAGGTTGGGGACTTACCCATACGAAGTTAAATGACTCTGACCTCTTTGGATGCTTACCATACAGAAGTTGAGTTAGGCTTTTTTTTTTTTTTAATTTGGACAGATGTGAACACCAATGAAAACACCACCACAATCAAGATAGCTAACATTTCTATCACTCCCCAAGAGGTGCAAATTTTGAATTCCCAATTTATCCCTTCCCACCCTCTTCACTCCCTGGTAACCATAAGTTTGTTCTCTATGTCTGTGAGTCTGTTTCTGTTCTGTAGGTAGATAAGTTCATTTGTGTCTGTTTTTAAGATTCTACGTATAAATGATATCACATGGTATTTTTCTTTCTCTTCCGGACTGACTTCATTTAGGATGACAGTGGGTTAGGCTTTATCTAACCTACAATTGGTCTTTTCAGGTATCAGTATTTCAAAGCCAATTTGTCCAATACAGCATTGGCAGCAGCCAAAACTAATTGCTTTGAGTGACTTTTTATCCCACACATGCTGCCTCCATGTGGAGGAAATGAAAGGTTGTAGCTAATTTATTACAACTGTTGGAAATTGCAGGATACCTAATAAGTAGTGGAGGGAGCGAACATGTGTTCTAGTGGATATACTCCTAGAACGAGGAAGCATACTGGTTCTGGGTGCTTTTTTATGGACTGTGTTAAATGCTGAGAGGCATCCTGTTTTCTGGGCATTGATTACCAACTCCAGCAAAAAAACAAAAGAGAGCTATTGGGCTCCCTGTGTGCTAGCTTTACAGAACCACCAGAGTCCAGGACTGGTCACCTCTTGGCAACAATGCTACATTTTTCAGCTGCCTTCAACCAGCAGCCTCACTCATTATTCCTCTGATGCATTTGCCCTTTTGCGCAAAGTTCCCATATCCCCGGCAAGCCAGAGACCCTAGCCTTCTCTGTTTTCTGTGGTCTCCAACTTTGGGGCAAGATAGCATGAGTAGAACCCACCCTCTATTCTTTCGTGTCTCAGGAAGCCAGAGGGGCTGCAGGGCTGCCGAGGAAGCCACTCAGCTTGTGTGGAGAGAGGGAGCAGGGGCGGATTTGCAGCCCTCGCTCATTCAAGCTCCGCACCCAGGTTTCTGTCTGCATTCCTCCTCCTCCCCGGCCCCAGCCCCAGGGAAGGGATGCTTTCAGGTCACAGAAGAGGCATCTGCTTGGCCAAACATGCTCCTGCCCTGGGGCTAGAGGGTATCTTTTCCAGTTCTCGCCAAAGCTCTGGTGTGACGCTACTCTTGCCCAGTCACTGGGGGGCTCTGCCCTTAATAACGTCACTTCTAATCTGATAGCACAAAGTCAGGGCAGTAAAACTGAATGAGTGGTGAAACAGCTGTCACCGTAGGGTGCAGTCTTCCCCCTAGTTGACACCTTCTAATTGTATGAGTGATTCTCTCTACTCCCCTCTTCCTTGACATGAGGGAGAGACTCACCCTCCACCCCTAAGGCACATTCTCATCTGAAGATGTGGGTAGAACTGTTTTCTTGAACACTATAGTCCCCAAAAGGCCACCTCTCTCCTTCCCAGACTTCCTAAATGAGATCGGTTTGGAGGTGGTGGTGGGTAGTGGGGCTCTCAGCAAGCCTCTGGGCAATGTGGTTGGCCCGACTGCTGGTGGTCGGCTGGAGGCAGAATGCGGGGTCCTTGGAGTTCTCTTTGTTCTTAACTCTGCATTTAGTAGTCAGTTACCAGAAAATGGGACCCCACATGGAGACCCACAGAGTCCCCATGAAAAAGTTTCAGAAGTGCTTTTGAACGAAACCACTTGTGATCACATGTGTGGCTCAGACTTCGTTTCCAATTGTTAACTGTTTTCTTTATTTCTCCATGCAGTACCTCTGGGGTTTACCATACGGCAGTTTACCTAGGAAAACAGTTCCCAGAGCAGAAGAGGCATCGGCAGCCAACTTTGGTGTGTTGTATGACTTCAATGTAAGTGTTTCCACACAGCTGTGTTCGTAAGAGGACAGCTTTTCCCATATTCTGAAACACTATAGCTTCCTCTACTGGGGCTGGATGAAGGTCTTAAGAGAGATGTCCCTGCCCCCTTTAAAACAAAAATGAAAGAAAGGAAGAAAAAAAATTAATAGGGTTTAGGAATGTGATAATATGATTAAACGGGAATATAGAATACTGAATGAAGGTGAGCTCAGAGTTCAAAGACTTCATGCAAATATTCTCTCTGGCTTTGGAAAAGGACAAAAAGAGAGTTTGCAAATATGCTTTTTGGGAAATCCTTTTGGCTTCTTAGGGTTTTCATCTTTCATACTAACCCCTTCACTTCCTAAACAAGTATATTTAGCATTACTGAATAATCAATACTAAATAAAGCTGAATAGTAAATCGTAAACAATACTAAATTCTAACTTCTGTGTAATATGGAAAAGAGTATCACTTGATCGTGGTACCCAAATGAGTATCATTGCATTGTAGCACTAAAATGAGTGTTATGCTTTGAGCTCCCCTGGGTGGGGATTATTGTTAGGGCAGAGACACATTTCTGCCCAGTGAAAAATGATTTTAGAGTGTGACTCAAAAGTCTGTGACAACTATTCAACATTCTTTTAAAAACAGTGTCCAGATTAGAGATATTTGGAAATATAAGGATGAGAAAGTAGCACAGTGGAGATTGGGGATTTGATAATTTAAGGAATTTTTGAAGAGTAGCAAATGAGAATAAAATTTTACGTAGACTGGGGAATGAAGGAAGGAGAGAAAAAACAAAGTCTTCATATTATAGTGTTAATACACATATTTCACAGATGTTTTAAATTCTACCCTCAACCTCTCTAAATTGTGAGCTTCCCAAAGAGGGAATCCCATCTGCTACATCCTCTTTGAAGCCCTTAATGTAACACTCAACCAATAGAGGCTTAATGAATCTTATTGACTGGGAATCCTGAGCAAGGAGGAGGGCTTGCAGAGCTTTGAGATCAGAACCAAAGAAATTAATTGATGTGAGCAGAACCTGCAAATGTAAACTTTAGGAAAGGTTTCCAGCCTCTGAGTAAATGAGGCAGCTCCAGAATAAGCAAAAGGCAGAGTGGCAGCCCCAGCTTGGTGGCCTTTGGAATCTTAAATCACGCCTGTCAGTTGGAATTTTCTTTTCAGTTCATCACTTATTTATTGACTATAAAGATTCACTGCTTTTACAGAAGTGAATGTGACATGGTTCTTGACCTCAAGGTAGTGATGACAGTAAAAGAAAGATACATAGGCAACTAGTATACAAGGTGTTCTGCACGTTGTAAGATGAAGGAGAAAAAAAGATACTGGGGAGCCCTGAGGAGGCTGTTGTTAATTTTGCTGGAGTGGATTCAGAGAGGAGATGGCCTCTGAGTTAGGTTTGACGTCTTATCTTTTATTTCTCCTTCTTCCATCTCTCTTTCTCTCTCTCCTGCCCTCCCCCCTCATTTACATTTCACATGATGTATTAGTATGCACCCCCAAACTAGTTTTATTTCTCATTCTCTTCCTCTGACTAGCAAAATAATAAACTTCCAGTCTGGTTAATAAGAGAAAGAACTAATAATACTATTGGTGTTTTCTGATGTTTTAGTCATACCAGAGAAAGGAAGAACTAGAAATACGAACCCAAGGCCTTTTGACTTTTAAACATATATATATTTTGAAGTTTGTACATGCATAAATTGGTCAACTAACTGAAATTGAAAGTTTTGCGAAAAATGTTCATGTGGGATTTTAAAGATGTTAATCAGTTGAAGACAAGAGGGAGGAGTCCCTAAGAGAGCCGCTAAGAGGTGGACAAGGGTCTGGGATGTGAATATAGGAGGAAACTAGGGGAAAGGTGTGGGCAGTAACTGGGCTCCCTGAGATTTTATTATTGCCCTCGACAGCTCTCTCATGGTCAGTGTGGTGAAATACTGTGTGCCATGTAGAGGAAGTTGGAAGCAGTATCCTATGATACTCATTTGCCTTTATAACCCTAGGCCAGCCTGAAGATGATTCTAAGGCAATGAGAGACTATTAAAAAGTCAAGAAAAAAGTCATCAAAGTGATATTATTTACTTATTTCTTTCTTAGTTTTTCTGCGTACCGTGATCACACATTATTTCATACGTTATCACGAAAAAAGAGTTTTAGCAATAGAAGTGCCCTTTGAGATCTTCCGTCCCATTTCCCACATTATAGAGTTAGGGAAACTTTGAGTCACAGAAGCATGTGAAAGGTTTTATGGTTAATAAAAGCCTCCTAATCTAGTGTTCTTTCTATATCCTGTATCACATCAGTAATTTTCCTGTCATAATTTCCAGCAGCCTTCTCATGGGTACTTTCTGGAACACAGACTGACTCCATTTAATGCTGTATTTCACAAGGGGAGAAGGAGTTGAAGCATTTAGGTCCCATTTTCACCTTCCACAATAAATAAACAACCCCCAAATTAGCTTCGTAAATAGAAAGGTTCGATATTTACCCTTGCCTGAATTCTTTACTCACTCCTCAGAACAATTACCTCGTAAAGGTGCCCACTCTGTATTAGAAGATGTTGTAAGCTGACATCCCAGTATTTCATCTACCATGGCACCGTGGAGGAAACCACTGACCAGATATCCTTGAGATCCCTGGAAACTCAGAATTCTGTACTTCCAAAGAGCCCAGAGATGCTAGGAGAAAAAGACATGCTTCAGGCCCAGGGGAGAGATGATTGGTGCCTAAAGGGTCTAATTGGAACATGGATTGGTTTTTTGCATCTGAGAAGATTAATGTGCCAGCTTAGATAAGCAATGCCATGTATATGCAGGTGAAGAGAAGCAGAATCAATTCATAGAACTCTGTATTTAGATGCAAGCATGACCTCTTGTGGTAGAAGAGCCTATAGGATGGAAACATTCAGAAAACCTTTAGGGTGGGGGTGGCGAGGTTGTGAAGAGCTGCTTCTCTGTTGCGTTTCATGGTAGAATCTTGGAACTTCTCTTTGGACCCCACTGGAGGTATACCCTTTGGCTCAGTGCTCTATCACCTGTAAGCATGCATCATAACTCATCCAAATTCCCTTTAATTAAAAGCAGACAAGTGCTATTTGACGTATGCCAGGTCAGGCAGTCTTACGGCTTCTCAAAGTCACAATTTACAAAGCACCATATTTTAATTTATTTATTTATTGAGTACCTAGTGATGGGCCTTACTGAGCAGGAGGAAAATATATTTTATTAAAATAGTCAGAAATAGAGAGATTGTCTGATGTGTATGCTATGAATCAAATTGGCAGAAATAGTATTAATTGAAGCAGTAGAATTAGAAGAATGAACTTAAGTCAGTAAGAAGATGATGTCTTTGTTGGCAAGATACTGGGAGACACAAGAATGATGTAGGAATGATAAAGAGGAAGAGATTGATAGTCCAGTAAGGGAGAGAGAGGGAGGAACTGAGGTGGAATTTGGAATGAACTTGAGTTGATATCAGACAGTGAGATCATATGGGTAAAGGTTTGAGTTGTGAATAAAGGGAAATGCATTTAGCTTTCCAGCTTGAGAGCATTTTGTACATTGCACATGGGGATAAATGGTGAGTCAGCTTTGCCTCCCCTTTTCCGCTGGTCATCATAGATGTGGGAGGTAGGGGGAAGCCCGAGAAGGGGCAGGAGAGAAGAGTTAACATCCATTATGTGTTAAGCAGGTACATACATTAAATCTTATTTTCATAACAACCCTTCAAGGTGAAGATCAATAATCTTTTTATAGCTGAGGAAAATTGGGACTCAGGGAGGTTAGTTTCCCAAAGACAGCACAGATAATTGAAGGAGGCATTGAAATTCAAACTGAAATGTGGCTGATTCGAGTGTAAAATTGTTTGTTTTACTCTAACGTATCATCCCAAGCTTGTTACTTCTGCCCACTTTTGCCACATCTCTTTCTTGAGATCTGTCCTCAAAGGAGACTGTCACAGACATTCTCAGTGTTAACAAACAGCAGTTCAGTTTCTTGTTTGACCAGCATCAACAGTTCTTTTAAGTAGGGATCTTCCAAAGCGAGAGCATCTTCTCAGTTTTCTAAGTTTCTTCATCTCTAATTGACTGGCCACATTTAGAAGATGTATTTTTGTGATTCACATATGGAATGATGCATCTTTCCTTAAGGAATACTTCGTAGTCCAAATGCATCTTTATTTTCAGGGAGCTCCATTTTTTAAAATTGAGGTAAATTTGACATACAACATATTAGTTCCAAGTGTACAGCACAATGACTTGGTATTTGTATATAGTGCAAAATGGTCACCACACTGTCTAGTTAACAACTGTTGCCATACATAGTCACAGAATTTTTTTCTTGTGAATAGAACTTTTAAGATTCACTCCATCTACCGAAAAAAAAAAAAAGCACAACCTAAAAGTTGAGAATTACATTTTATTCTGCAGTCTTACTAAGGACTGTAGCCTGGGATGGCAGCCTCTTACGTAGCTCTGAAGGACTGTTCCAAAGAGGTAAGGGAGATGTCAGGATATACAGGAGTTTTTTCTGGGGAAAAGAAACAGACAAAAAACCATGTAGCTGAACATCAAAGGATTACTGCTAATCACAAAAAACAGACATTTCAAATTATTGATTTTTAGTGCTTTTCTATGTATGAGAAGATGCAAATGCCTAGGCTCATTGAAATTATTCTTTTGATAGGCATGTTAACTGTCTGGGACCAGTATCCTGTCTTTTTCTGCCCTGAGCTCCTTTCAGGGCTTACTATTGGAGGTGGCTGTAGTGGCTGATGGCCTGATAGCTGCAACATCCTCTGTTTACTGAAATGGCAAGCGACATTCTTTGTCCACAACTCTTAGCAACTTTCAAATATGCAATATAGTATTATTAACTATAGTCGCCATTCTGTATGTTACATCCCCATGACTTACTTATTCTATAACTAGAAGTTTAAATAAGTAAACTTCACCCATTTCACTACCTTTTGAAAGAGATCTGAGC